TGATGGGAATGAAGGCAGCTCCAGCACAACTGATTGTGGGAAGGAAAATGTTGTTTTCTTTGGCAATTCGGCTGTCACTGGAGAACAAGTATGTAGGCATTTTTGAATTTGATCACTGTTAGTACATATATTAGACGACACTTTTGTGGTTAGGTCACCAAGGCCATCGAGCACTACAGAAGCTGCTCAAAAGGTCATCGCCCGCTGTCGAGTATGAACCGGAGGTTTCGATGGATCGAAGATGCAATCGAACACCTTTGGAGGAAGCCTGCGCAAAACTGAGCACGAGAGGGAAGATGCCATCGCAGCACGATGTAGTCGATCTATACAGTTGAGAAGGAGATCGTGCAGAATGAAATTGGAATAAGCTCACGTTCGCGGTCACTTCATCTTTATTGGGCTCAGCAAACTTGGACGATAGTTGTAATTCAGAGAAATATCGAAATTCGAAACAAAAGGTGAGCAAAAACTTTGTCGTTCGTAGGGAGCAAACCCGCATGCTGCCGCCTAGAGCACGAGACACACCCCTAGGCCACAATCAGCGCGCCTCGTGAGACAACATCGCCCTTCAAGCAAGTTTCGACCACCCGGAAATCGTCGGGGAGGTCTCCGTAGCACTTTTAATCTTCATATTCGTAATCAGCATTCGAGACTCTATCAATGTACCTAGGTCTCGATTCAAAGTTCCATGGGAAGTTGAAACCATTCCCTTGTCAGTAACAGTATTCTGCCAAACCCCGGTAATGGAATCTTGCGTTTTGCGAAAGAAAAAGTGGGGCTGTCCGCTTCCGTTGTCTTGATCTCCGTTGTTCTTTGTATGTCGTTTTTAATGCAACTTTTATGAACTGTACACAAATTCCAGAGTCACTACGTGGGACGAATTCATGCAGCTCTTTTGAATCGCGGCGAGAATTTTGATGACATTGAATGGGCCTTGAATGCCCTGGAGTCATTCTCTTCGGTATGACATGAGTTCTCTATATTTACTGTGCTACTTCTGCTGCTTGGACTGTTTGCCGACTTTTTTTTCCGGAAGTCGAGCCATCTTACTGCAAGGTCTTCTTTCCTTTTTATGCCTGGGATTTTACCCTTTTTGTTTTTCTTTCCATCTTCGCTATTATATGAAGTCAATGGGAGTTACCCACAAAAGCAGTGTACAGTTAGCGGGAAATGCATAGGTCCGGGACTTGTTTTGTATGCTGGCTCAAAACTTGAATTACATGTATTAAGTACTATATTCTTGCGCCATCCCTCTTTCTCAGGTGTATTGATGGGACTTTCTTTCCATATAAAGTCCAATTTAGGATCCCTGCTTCGTGTCGTGTTTCTACAGGTTGTCCAGTATTCAGCTTTTGTATGACCTTCTCGCTGATGATAGAATTGAAAGGTGAGTTGAAGAACTATCCGGAGTTTCTAAAACAGTTTTCGCTCTTGAGGTGCTTTCTCTTCAGCGTTACATTCACGGTACAGCAGCGAAATGGGATAATTGCGGTTTGGACGACTTTCGCCCAAAATTTATTCCTCCAGTACGACCCCCACACTTTCCCAAGAGAAGTTTTGCAGTTTTCCCTCAAGAAAGCTGTCACCGATGGGGGGGGGGGGTAATAGGATTCTCATCGATGCTGTACCCTGCTTACGCGTCACTAGATGGGTCTCAGTTGATCTGCGTTCTCAGTTTGCGACTGACGAACGTAAAATAAAAATAATTTGTGTAAAGACTTTTTATTACAGCAGTCAATCGTGCCTCAGTCTTTGCCTGAGTTCTCTTCGATCAGTTCTTCAGTTAGAAGTGGACGGTATAGGATGGAGCAGAGCTTCACCTGTTCTAGTCAGCAAGCTTGCTACCTTGGTTACGGGTAATTTTTTATTTCATCCAGCTTATGGTGCTAGCAGCTTTTCCTATTGTCCATGATTTCCCTTTGGAGAATGAAAGTGGAAATTTTTTTCAGGAAGAGCAAAACGAGAGGATTCCAATGTGGTCTTGATTGCTTTAGGAATGATTGAACAGCTTCTGAATAGCGACAGGTAAGGTTCAGCTTTTTTTTCCCCACGAAAAGATCATTGAGAAATGGAAACGACATCAAGAAGTATTTATATTGATTCACATCCAAAATATTTCTTCATAATTGTTCGTTCAGTGAAGTTATTCGAGATCTTGTGTTGTCTGAAGTGCCTGCTCAGTCACTTATTCGTCATTTGGAGAAATCTGACGAAAGGGTAGCCCTTGCAGCTTTGTCACTTATGAATGCATTGCACAATAAAAGCGACGCACCAAGTCGTGAGCAAATTGTGAAGGTTAGCTTTCTCTTATGTAGGCTTATCCTTCGTATTTGTTTGAGAGTAAAACAATTTGAAAGTCTCACCTTTTGGAAAGTAGCTGATACCCATAACTCGTTTGCCGTAAGTCAGAATGTCCATAGAGTGCCATGCGGCTGAGAGAGGGAGAGCACAGAAAAACACAAACTCGACGCGATGAAAGGAACTGTGTTCAAGTTGTCCGTAGACAGTCCTCATTTGTGAAATGGTAATTGTTCAGCAGTGGTTAGCTGTGAAGACGCAGACTTACTCTGTCCACAGGACTGAAATCCACATAGGCCATTGAACCCTTCCATTCAGCCAAAGGAAATTTTTGTGCTACATCTGTCTATATATGATTCTTTTTTCAATCTTCAATCCCATATTTGATACATGAATGCTAATAGGTTTTTGGGCAATGTGGATCAATCTATTTTCTAGAAAGCGCCAAGTGTTCCACTTTTGTTCAGCATCGTCAAAGCATATTGAATGTGAAATATCCACAAATCTTGCGGTGGTCAGCACCTGGTGTAGTGTTTTTGTCCCGGGCACTCTTTAGTACCAGTGATTCAACTCTGAAGAGCTGGGAGGCTCGTTTGGTCTGGTGAGAGACCCAAGATTTGATTCATGGACCTCACATCCAGTATGCGCAGCCACTTGCTACTACATTACCTCTTCTTACGTCCTTATAGACCACAGACTTTGAAGTTATCAGTACACTGCAATGAAAGTCAATTGTGTGATCTGAAGTGATTGATCAAGATCGCAAAAAATAGAGTATTATTGACCGGACATATGGCGAATCGATTACTGTCTCTCTTTAGCATTTCGCATCTGTACCTTTCCACACGGCAATCAGAGGAAGTGTGCTGCGAGAAGGTCGATCACGCGATGCAGCTCTTCTTTGTCAACTCGTACCTTTGCAGCGGCTACTTATCGCAGAACACACAAAATTTCTGGGAATGCCTGTGATAAGAGTGCGATGTGGAGTTACTGGTAAGGAGTTACTTATCTAGTCTAGTTTTTGGAGTAATCTTTCTGCAGGCACTTTGACAGTGTCTCCAATTTTTTTGATCCAGAGCCGCGATGTAATTCGTTCATCGGCTAGTGATGATACACAACTGAACGAGTGGACGGATCAACTTCTCACTGCACCGTTGGGTAAACTCGCCATCGATACCTTTGCAAAGGTATCGCTGATGGCAAACATTCTGAGGAACTTTGCGAATTCGTGAGGTGTTATAGAATTACTATACTGCTATGAACTTCTTTAAATCTCCAAGCCCTAGAGATTTGCTACGATTCTGTTTTGGGAAACGAAGGGCTATCCAGGATAGTCTCGGCAAGATTGCGCGGTAAGAGAGAGATAATGGTCATCCACTACCAGACCATTGTGATTACGGAATCCTGGACTCAGTTCAGGGGGGTAGGAGTTCGTCAGTCGTTGACAGTATGTCGCTTCGGCATGTAGAAACTTCTAAAGCCTTTTTAAATATAGTTTCGGTACTCAGTTGGTCTATGGAGTTTTTTTTGATAGTTGTTTTTTTTTCGTATCGCAACTCTCTGGACTTATGGCTGTCGGTGTTTTTCTGGCGCACTCATGATAATAAGGATACTCTTGTCATTTTTCAAATGTCCTCCGCGAGATTTGACAAATACATTGTAGTGACGTTTATTTCAACCGAGGTTCTCAGAAGTGAGAATAAATTATCGCACTACCCGTATCCAGAGAAGTCCTCTTGTTGATCTTGTTACCTTTACTATGTATCATGAAGGTAATCTTTGTTAGTTACACAGTGGTAACCTAGCAGGTGTGCGTGAATTTTGAACTTTGGAGCCGACTTTAGGTTGGTGCATAAGTTCTTAGCCACGACTTTTTCGTAAATATCTCAATAGCGAACCAACCTGAAGATTAGAGGTATGCACCATCACCATCCACTACTCGACGCCAGCGCTCAGGCAGCTTGTCGATTCCTTCCAGAACGACGGGGGCTGGACTTGAAGAAGTCGTCGGGTGCCTTTCCTGCACCGATTCCTTTGTTAGATTTTTTCCGTCGGGAGAGCGCCTGCGTGCTGAACAAGTGAAACATGGCTATAATTTGAAATTGATTAATTTCTCCGTTACTTGGGGTATGTGGAGCACAGGGTATGAAAGTTAAGAACTGAAGGTCTGAACAACGAGAGAGCGGAGTAGCCTTTTGCTGAAACACCCCCATTCTGGTAGTATAGTGTTTGGGGAATCGGTAAAGGACGCATACGAAATACTGGCGTGCGATATTTACTTCTACTCCATGGAACTTAGGATCATAGCTGTGTATAGAGCGCCGTCGTGTTCTTCCACAAAAAGTGAGCAACTTATCAAGGCTCTCAGTGATTTGTCTTCTTGTGACAAAGTGTGCATAGTAGCTGGTGATTTCAACCTTCCTCATGTTTTCAGCTCTCTGAGTGCTAAATGATTCCTGTAGTACAAAATTTAGCAACATGTTTACGTCACACGGGTTTGTCCAAACCATAGATTTCCCTACAAGATACAGTTCGCTGTTGGACTTGCTACTATGTAATGACTTCTCATTAATCCACTCAGTAGCTTCCTCTCCTCCGCTAGGTACCAGTGATCACAACGTTGTTAAGTTTAGCCTTAAAGAAAGTTTTAGAGCTAACAGGCATAAAGTATGTAGAGATTACAAGAAACGGGAATTTTGAAGCTATGAGAGCATACCTAGCAGGTGTAGACTGGTTCGGATCCTTCAACAATGTAATGGGAGTTAATGAAAAGTATGAAATGTTCATAGCAATCTTACAGCACGCCATCAATATGTACATTCCTTACAAGATGGTAGTGGTAAATAAATTTCATAACCTACCTCATTATTTAGTTTCAATGGGAAAGACCAGAGAGCGGTATTGGGAGAAAGCAGTCTCTTCTCAGTCATCAGTAGAATGGAAACGGTTCCAGAACTTTAGCAAAAAGTGGGTGAAAAAACTAAGTAAGTACTATGCCGTATATTGAAAAGAAAAAATTAGACAAAGGAGGTTTGAAAGCTCTATACGCCTTGCTTAGGATTAGGCTCACAGACAAACATAGAATAGGCACACTCTTGGGAGCAAAATCACATAGGGCAATTTTGGATCGAGATAAGGCTGAACTGCTAGCGGATACGTTTGAAAAGTCATTCGGATTTGAGTCTGGTACTACGCAAGAGTCAAAATTTCCTAGGGTACATGTTAGTGATTCTGCCCCATGGTTCGACCGAAAAACAATTCTGGATATACTCCTAAAGTGGTCATCGGCATTCCTCTATCATAGCGAGCCGAGAATATACCATTCAATTGTGTTAAAAAATATGCGAGTTTCGAATTGGCGCTCCATTGAATTTCTATTCAACTTAGTCTCATGGGCGGGCGAAGTGCCGTGCAAATGGAAGCATTCTATCGTAATACCTCATCCTAAAAAGGAACCGTTGTCGAGTCCAAGTAATTACAGACCAGTTAGTCACACTTCAATTTTTTCCAGAGTCTTTGAGAAAGTAATCAAGCGTTACTTACTAGAGCACATCGAGAAAAATCATATTCTACCCGCCACACACCATGGGTTTTGTAAGGGCAGGTCAACTGAAACTTCTATGCTGTCTTGCATGAATGATTGGACTAAAGCGTTAGATGCCAGAAAAAATGTTGACGTAATATATTTTGATTTTAGCAAGGCATTTGACAGACTGCCACATAGGGTCCTATTGAGCAAACTTTCTCGCTTAGGTGTCCATCCCCTAGTGGTAAACTGGGTTAAAGCTTACCTCGACAATCGAACGTTCCAAGTTCAAGTAGGGGAAGCACTGTCTGAGGTACGAGTCGCAACAAGCGGTGTTCCACAAGGTGCAGTTCTATCACCCGTGCTTTTCAATATGTTTACGGCTGACCTTCCTTACGTGCTTGAGAACCTCGAAGTTACTTGCAATATTTTTGCTGACGACATCAAGATTTACATGGTGACTGGAGATGTAGATTATGAACCCTCACTGCAGCTTGCAATCAATAGGATTGTAGGTTGGGCAAAGGATAACGGGCTTCTTTTGTCTACGGAAAAAACTCAGGTCATGCGTTTGGGAGCCTCTACCCGCAAACCGGTGTATTACGTGGAAGATGTTGCATTGAAAACAGTGAATGAAGTGAGGGATCTGGGGTTTAACTATGACAGCAAATTAAATTTTAGCAAACACTATAAGTTGCTGGTATCTAAGGGATTGCGGAGGACCTTTAACCTGTTTAAGGCCCTGAGAACAAGAGATACTAGCGTGTTATTGAGATCATACAAGCTATATGTGCGTCCAATTATGGAGTCCGGGACCGTCGTATTCAATCCACATATGAAAAAGGATATATACGCACTTGAAAGTGTGCAGAATAACTTCACGCGTAAATTGATGCTTAGATGCGAGGGATTAAACTACATGGAGATACCCAACGGAACCCTTCGGAATAGGGCTTATGGGTTGAAATCATTGGAATGGAGAAGAACTAGAAGCGACTTGCTAATGGTATTCAAATTATTGAAAAACTTAGTCAGAATCAAGCAGATGACTTTTTTCGTGTGCTGCCATCTAACTCAAGAGGCGATTCCATTAGACTCTCATCTCTATATGCCAGGACTCACCTTAGATCAAAGTTTTTCGGTAATAGAGTTTGCTCAAGGTTCAATTACCTTTTGCGGAGCAATGTCTTACAGTTCAAATATCGAAGTTTTAAGCGACACGTTGGAGATTTTGTAGAGACTACGAATTAGTTGTAACTTGCTATATAGGTGATTACACAAATGATGTTTTGTTCTGTTTTGCATTACAACTGTTTTAAGTTATAATTTGTTGTTGTAAGTTTTTAGCTAGGTTTGAATGTGCTTCTGTCAGCGTCAAGCGAAATAAACAATAAACAACAATGACTGAACAGCCAGTAGTCAGAAGGAGCGAGGTCAGGGCTGTAGGGAGGGTGGGCGACCATCAGCCACTTCTCCAGCTCGGCCTGGGTCGCCTTTGCGGTGTGAGGTCGGGCGTTGTCATGGTGGAAGTAGATTTCCGCATTCTTCCACGAGTACGGTCGACGTGATCTTTCAATTTCCGCAGCTGGGTCACGTATGTGGAAGCGTCAATCGTCTGTCCCTTCTCCAGCAGCTCCCAGTACTCCATGCCTCTTCTGGACCACCAACAGGACAGGAGAACCTTTTTGGGGTGAAGGTCGGCCTTTGGGGTGTTCTCCTTTGTCGACCCACTGCCGCTTCCTCACAGGGTTATCGTAGAGGACCCACTTCTCATCTCCAGTGATCATCGAGTTGAGAAAGTGGAACTTCTTTTGTGAATCGTGAAGCAAAACCAGGCAGTGGCGCAGGTACATTTTGTCACAGTGGAAATTGTGCGACATTGTGGCCTGCAAATGCAAGGTGGGTGAGTGATAGCTAGTGTGATAAAAGAGTATAGTGCCCACGTCACGCACACGTGATGACGATATACCAACATCCATGCAAACGAAATACGGAAGGATCAAACACGTGGCTAAGAACTTATGCACCAACCTAATAGTATGCGCCCACATTTGCCACTGCACACCTCCGCCTGGTCATGTTGAGTCAGTAAGTCAACTGTCGTAATGGGTTATAGTAGCGGTTGAAGGCGCCAAATTGCACCTACATCGTTTTTGGGCCCTAGATAGGCGGTCATTGGAAGCAAACTGTTCACCCACCTCCAAGGGACGCGGTCCTTGCCGTGGTGGAGGAATGGGCCCGTAGCTAGCCTCTCACTCCTGTCAAAAGAGCATGGGCAACGGGGCTGTAGTGCAGTGACACCTGGAGGCCGTCTTCATAATTCGCCCGCGCTGAAGCACAGCCTGCCACACCCCTCACCACCGCTAAACGGGCCTTCTCACTTCTGATTGTCCTCTTCAGCTGAATGACTTTTTCGCTGCAGGAGCTCGGAATCGATGCAATTGCTGCACCTTGATAGGGAAGGGAGTATGGAAACAGCACTCGCGTACCGCTAGCACACAGCCCGTTCCCATGCACTTTTGAGCCTGGTTAGTGGCCTTTACTGGAACAGACGTATTCGCCTCGCATATGGCAAGGATTGTCATCAGTGTGCCGTTTGTCAAGTAACACCGAGTTTTTTTCTGCTGGTAGCAGATATGTTGTGCTAACAAGGCGGGTTTCTACACTAATCGTGACTTTCGGCAGTCGTTGCATCAAATTTAGGCTGGCGGAGAAGTTCTGTCATACTTTTCTGAACTTAAAATACTTGCCCATTACCTGAAGAGGGTAACCGGTAATGTGAGCACTTATACATCAAGGAGTGGTCTTTCTATTAGTACCACTCGCTTGACTCCTGCTTCTTCTTCTGCAATATGGACAAGAATGTTATCCGCTACCATCGGCACCGACCCCTCCCCAAGCGCTTCCTCAAACTCTTTCTTCCTACCACCCTGACGCCAGCATTACAGCTGCAGATGCCAAAATAGTGGAGTTTCTGAAGTACGATGATCAATCATCGGACAACGTTCCACGACGCTAATGCTTCAAAGCGGGAGCCTACAGTTTTGATGACGAAGTGAGGTTTGGGTTACCTGTGAACTCAGATTGAGGGAGCTGCGGGTCGTGAAACTGCTGGATGAAGAAGCTGCTTCCTCGGTCAATACCCACAAAGATCTGAAGCAAATCGTCGACAAGATGGAAAAATCGTCCGCAGAGTCTGCCTTCAGCATGACAGTGCAGCCCACCCCTCCAAAAGAGGTCGAGCCAAACCTCATGCAATAGAGCTGGATGGCTCTCCCATTGCACCAGTGTAACCCCGACATTGCTCGTAACTGCTAGTTGCCTCTCGTACTTAATCGTTATATGGACGAGAAAATTTCCACTAGTTGAGCCCAAGACAAAATTGAGACTATGCCCAACATTGCGTCGCGCCGGCCTGCAATGTGAAGCGATGAATCCAAAAAGTGCTCAAAAATGGGTGCGCCTCTCTATAAAAAGAAAGTTTAATTTAAAAAAATTATGACAGGACTTTCCCGCCAACCTAATATTAATGAACCTCCACAATTAGCAGGAAAAGCTAGAATCATGGCGCATTGCTTCCAGTGATGCGAAACTACAAGTTGAGCTGGATTATACGGATTCCCGTCATTTATTCGTTAGAACATGGTGTCTACACATGTAACGTGAATAAATCAAAGCATTGATGGAGCACTTGAAGATATCATTCTTCCTGAATTGTTGATCATTCAGTTCGTCTTTTTCCCCTCACGACTGCCACCATCCGGTGACTTTCCTTCGCCTTCGCCTTTCTTCTCGAATTGGACATTTATACGGCAGATACCTGTGGAGATTGCTGAGATTTGCTCTGGTGTAATGGGTCAGTTATTGCTCTGAGAGCGCGTTCATACTTCGCGATTTCATCGCTTGGATCCCACGAGGGACCGGATGGCGCGGTTGGATCGCTCGAGCGATTGAATTGCGGGTCCTCCACCCTTATTAGGCAGATCGCCGATCCAACAGAATTCAAAATGGGCCACGTTCATGCAGGGCATTTTTAGTGAGGCCGTGCAGCCCAGTTGAATCTTCTTTTGCGGCGGTCCTCCCGATTGGCAGATCGCGAAGTATGAACCCGCTCTAACCTAGCAGGATACAGCAGAAATAGCTTTCGCTCAGAGCCCAAACTGCGACTACTCCTGAATATCGATTGTATTGGTTCACCTTCATGCTTTGCGTCTTTAGTCCACATGTCTTTAACTGCTTTCCCTTCCTGTGAGTTCATGTAATAAATAGCAAAATAGTGCTTCTTCCCATCGGTTGGTATGCCATTGGCGTTCTGTGAATGAGGACTTTTATTTTACCAGCTACATTTTCCGAAGGGGTTTCAAAACACAATCTGTGGTGTTGGACTCTGATGATCAGAATGTAGTAATTTTACCTGGAACCATACACGAATGCGTGCCGTATCATTCGCTTTGATAAGACCGAGTGGCGGTTGAACTCGAAAGTAGTCCGCAGAAGTGCACTTCACCTGAACTTTTTCCATTACTGTTTCTTAAGTCTTACTCTTTGACAATATCCCTCAACCCTACGGTGATAACAAATTGTCAACAACTGTAGGTGATCATCGGCTTTAATTACACCCCGCGATTACCCGATGGGATCTT